TCTATTCAAATGCGTCCCCATAGATAATCTGGCTACTGGGTTATTTCAATTACCATTAAAAGCCAACACGGTATATTTCATTTACATTTGGAATTTGTGCAATGTTCAATAATCTTTAAAAATACCAAAAAATAATTAAGGTATTAATACAGTTAGTAAATGTACGTGAATGTTATGCAAAATTGGCTGCTTATCATAATTTCAGTACAATTATTAAGGTACACATTTTCAGTTTAAAACAAACATCAGCGTACCCTTGTTAAATATATTTTTAAGTATAGTTAATGTAAAAACAAATTAAGATCTACATAAAAATTATTCAAACAGTACTGTCTACAGTGAGAACCTAAGAAACTAGTATATGCGGCATCCTCTTAACTTTCGACTTGCTAGTTTGCAGACATGTCATAATTGTAGACAGGGAAATATAGGACCCAGAAAATAAAGTTTTTTGTTATAATTAGTTATGTGTGACTCAAAACTGTCTGGCTATACATATGATATCGCATAGTTTAATGTATACATTTTATTGTATATTTCTTTTCGGACATTCGTTTAACTATTTTATATCTTAAGATTCAAAAATAGTAGTAACAGTTTGGGTTCTCTGCGCCCATTTTTTGATTTTACTAATTATGGATAGTAAATTAAAACTAGTAATGAATAAGTAGTGTACTACACCATTTATCAAAAGTCTTGTTACGCGTTTTACAGTCTAAATAGTCCAAAGCACAAAAATCACCACACTCGTTATTATAATCAACTATTATTATATTCTTTTAATTTTACTGTAACACACACACACACAATGTATTGAATAAAAATGTCTTTTTTTTATTTAAAACATGTTTTTATAAAACAATTTGGTCTCCCACTACCAATTTTAGTAAAAACTCAATGCTGATAATTTACTTTCTAAACTATATAATGAAATCTTATAGTTCATGTTTTGGTTTACTATAAATAATTAGTAAAACAAAAAAATGGGCGGAGAGGACCCAATTTGATACTACTAGCATCACCGATATTTTTTTTTTATAAATCTGTTTTTCGAATTTCCCATCTCTATATGCATAAGTTTCTGTATAGTTTTAAGCAGTAATTAGAATATATGCAGTACGGTTAAAACACATTAAGTTGCATTGTTAAAAGAGTCTTTAAATGCATGGTGTTATGATACTTAAATTTTTAACGCCCTCCCACTTAAGTTTTTTTTATTACAACTTTTGAAACCTAAATGGTAACGCATAGATTTCATTAACTTTTAAAATTGAGAATAATGTACTCAACATTTTGACAGGTCGATAACCAGTTTTGGATAAGTTTTTTTTATCAGCACGCATGTCCCAACTGCACTTCCCCTCCAATATTGAGTGGTTCACGTTAAGTTGATTACCCTGTATACATATATATATATATATGTATATATATGTATTTTTTTTAAATTATGTAAAAAGTGTGAATTTTGTGTAAATCAAAGATCAGCCCTCCCCTTAAACAAAATCCTAACTACATCGATTGTTTTAAATAAAGGTAAAATAAACCCGTGTGTTATATCAATAGAATCTATTGCCAATGATGAAAACTCTTTTGTGGGCTTCGAGTTTTGACAATAGTAATAGATATGTTACAGACTGTATGTGATAAAGATGTTGGTTCTAGGTCGTTTACTTTTACATTATCACAAACTAATAATTTTTTTTAAAATTGTAATATTACAAAAATGTAATAAAATTACTTATCCACACTGGGACGATGTACAAAAGGTACATATTATGTGTACATTAGCTATGACTCATATCTTCATGTTTCATACATATACTTAATTAAAAAACACTGTCGCTAATGTGAGCGTTGCAAAACTCAGTATGATAAATAAATGATTCACCGATAATTATTGCCAAAAAAATATCTTTTAGGTAATTTAGAAAAAAACCCTACTGAAGTGGGAAGTGTAAAACTTACAGTTTTTTATAATTTATAAGACATTTTATTTTTACCTACAGTTAATTAAATTTTGTTTATTAAAATATTATTAGTTTATGACACATTAGCAGCACTACAACATTAGAGATTTATAAAATTGATAATCATTAATCGCTTTTTTTTTTCAAGTTCCCATCCGATAATTATCATAAAAGTGTTTGCAAGTTCACTTATTAAATTTAAAAGTTGAAGCTCTCTCGAATGTGTTATGTTGTCAGACTTATAATTTAAAACATAAATATAGTTTTGTAAACTAATAATAATTTTTTTTTTATTAAGTAAAACTAGAAATATAAATAATGAAAAAAAAGGTAGGGGGTAATTATTTACTCAAAAAAAATGTTATGCGAATTATGCTCTAGGTAGAATCTAATAGTATGAAGGCATTTTTAAAGAAATGAAAATTGGAATGAAAGATATCCATTCATAAACAAAATACTTATACATTTTAATTAGATATAGTCAATAGTTATTTATAGTTGTAGTTCTATGTGTTATTATTCACTACTGCAATCTTATTAGTCACTACAATTTTCAACAATAGATGTATTAAATTTATTTTATAGGTATATTAGGAAGTTGATAACTCATATACATAAACATGCAAGACCCTTTTATGTTTAATCATTAATATTGTATTTATTAAACGTGAATTAAAATTTTGGTTAAATAATTTATTGCAAATACTAATTATAACCCGTGGTTTACCTTATTTCTTACACATAAGCAAACGATACATTTTTTTTACATTTTATAAAGATGTTTTTCACAATTTTTGTATAGCTTTTTTATTGTGTTCTATCACGCAAAAAATACAAACAATACCATACGGTATTATGTTATGGTTGGTTGTTTATCAAAAACAAGTTGTTTTACTTAAAATTAATTTTGTTATGTCGTTTGTTTATTCAAATGGTTCAACTATGTTACAATAACTAAGGCGAAAAAATACACATATTTTTTAAGTTCAGATACATAATTATTGTATTTAATCGTCCCAATGTAAACATTTATAATTATTATTTGCTACAAATTCAAATGTTCAAACAAGAAAATATGAAAAATGTAGAAATCAAATAATAATACAAGATATGCCCAAAAACCAACTTGATTTCTATAAAAACTGTGTTTGTAAAGTATTACAGTTCTCTCAAGGTTAAAACTTAAAAATTTGCGTTGTTCACAGTCATTTGTCATTCTAACTAGAATGCAAAATGTTTGTTGAATACATAAAAACTGATTAAATTGACAAGGGTAGTTATAGTTTTATGTCTTAAGGTGTGAAGAACATATAATAAGAATCCTATTTTAAAAATAAATAGTTGGGATTTATCTTTATATCATGGACCCCAAAACAAACTGTTTAAAAATATGTTTGTTTCCAACTATAGTGTACACTCTTTACAGAGTTGTTCCTTACGCAACGGGCTCGATGTGAGTACGCAAAGGGTACAGGAAAGAAACAAAAAAGTCCCTTTTTTTTTTGTATTTTAAGGAAAACATGTTTAAAAAAATTTTAAAAATTTGCTTTTATTGTATTTAATCAAAAAGACATGCCTATTTTTCTCTGTACCCTTCATATAACTTTAGGTGTGTTACATTCTTTTCTAAGTGTCGCATTAGGTATCGACTAGTACCGACCGGACAAAGTGGTGGAAAGTAGGGCGTGAACAATTAAATCAGATTGGTCTAGAAGTTTGTTATCGCCATAATATCTTGAATAAAGCGTATCATATTTATATCTAAATATTTATTTAGATATAAATATGACGTATGCAAAGAGTGGCAAATCTAACCTTTAAAAGGCAATCCGAACACCACTAACAGTATTAGTGTGAATTTTAGTTTCTTTGCGTTAAGTTTATCAAACATAAAAAAGTAAGCGATATTTGAAATTTTTTTTCGTAAGACAATGGTATATATAAATGGTTTTCTTTAGATGTAAAAATTATTTTTTTTTATTGCCAACATAAAACCATTAGAACTGACACATATTTATATTTTTTTTCCTTCAATATATAATTAAAATTTGGCAACGTTTACATGTTAACGTTCAAATTATACCATTTTCAATTTTATAAAGTATCTAAATTTTTAAATAATTTTTAGAACACTATCAATTTTTGAACATTTTGTATCGTTTACCTATATTTTTCGTTTTCAATTGGAAAATTACAAATAAGTGAATGACTATTTTTACTGGTCGATAGGATTACAATAGCATTCGATTTTATAATTTAAAGCGAAGGAATTAAACTTTATTAATTATTAAGTCAAATAAAGTAAAGCACAAATAGTAACAAACAAAAAATACGACAACCGTATCAATAACAGCATATTTAGGTAATATTTTTTTTCCTATTTAGGCAATGATGTTTTTAATTGTTCTTTACTGGTTTTACATTTTTCTTTCTTTTTTTTATGTACAAGATAGCCATTTTTTTTAAAACAATTTGAATAAAAAAATTAAAGAAAAATATGTGTAGTTATCAATATAAAATGCGGTGTTTTAATATCACTAATGAGTATGATATAAATCATTAAAAAAAACTGTAAAAATATTAACTAGAACAAAAGTTATTTAATTTGTCAAATTGACACAATTATTCATACAAATTGATGAGCTTTTTATTGTTTTAGGTATTTACGATGAAGTCCAACACGAGTTTTACGCTATTTGCAGTGTGTTTATTCGGTCTTATTGTAAGTAAATATACATTTTGGACTTAATTTCAACTATTCCACTATAAATGTTTAGTTTGATAATATCCTCTCAATATACCTATTTCTCTTATACCAACCGCTAAGTATTATTTTTTGACGCCACTATTTTATGTTCTTAAAAATCGTGGTTAAAATTAAAAAAAAATAAAAACAATTTTTCTTTGACCTATCTCCACTCAAAAATTTTGATTCTTTTGAATATACAATTTTTTCCAAAACAAGAACAATAATAAAATCAATACTTGTTATTATTTTATTAAAGTTCAAACTTAAAAGTGTGTGTAACATACATATTTGTTGCCTGTATCAATGGATTTAGATGATATTGTGTTGAACAACCGCATATGATCAAATTCTTTTGTGATATCTATAATAATAATGCTAGTGAAATGTATGATACTACTAATATTAGAGTATGTCTTTCAGGTTTCTTTGAATAGTTCGCCCATGGTACCAGACGGTGGCGAGACATCAGGGACATCAGACAACTTGCGCAAATCTATAAGAAACTACATAATAAATGTAAATATATAAAAACTAGTTTGTACTTAATTAGGTCAAGCACTTATGATTTCCAGGGCTTCTTTAATTTCATAATACATTTTCTTTGACCTATCTTAAGTAAAACTGCAAGCCTAGTGTACTTTATTACATTGAATATTAAAAGACAGTCGACTATATATACTAATAATAATACTAATACTAATATGTGGGTCTTTCAGATTTTGACTTACAATAAAAGAGAAGGATTATCCAGAGCTGAATATAATTTTGTAATAGATCCTGATTTTTTGAAAAAACTAGATAGTGTAAAAGATAATAGTTTTATATCAGACTGTGAGTATTTAAATAATTATTTTTCTCTAATAAGCAAAGTGAAAAAAAGGGTATTCAAACCATAGCAATTTAAATTTAGATGGATGCACTTATTGAAAAACAACAAATTGTAGTCAAACGTTTGTCTTCTTGATTAATTTTCCAAACCCAAACTTATAAATGCCTGTAACTTGGTGGAAATTTACGTAACATATAGGTGCCAAGCCAGCATAAAAATGTTATACCGGGTAATTTTTTTAATGCCCTACACCAGTTTACCCATAAATTAATTGAAAATTTGTAGTGTTTCTCTTTGAAAATATTTTTTACTATACTATAATAAAAAATGAGACATTATTTACATTTTTATCTTTTTTTAGTATTTGCTAGGGAAGATATTTTTTATAAAAAAAATCGTATTTTTATATAGAAATAATTGCAAATTATATTTATTTAGTTACAAGATACTGTCATTTATGAATGAGATTCAGCTTTCTGCATAACATAATTAAGTAGCCGAAGAACTCAAATCTCTCCACAAGAATTGAAATTGGACCAATCTATGTAGTCTACATTTTGGCCTTAAATAAACCAAAATTGCTATTACAATTATCCTATAAATAAATGACATTGTCGAAATTTATTTAAACCTCTTTTTTTTCGTTAATATTGCCTGTACAAAATTCCTTAAAAAAAGACCGCATAAATCTTTGGCAAACTTTAAAAAAAAAAAAATATTTTATTCGAATGTTATCATCAATTCCGTTTTTCACTAATAGTCGAGTTCCGATTTACGCCAACATATATGTTGTTATATATTGTTACAATATGTTGTCTAACTAATATTTATTAGTTTAATACGATGACCAGACATAACCGGAATTTGTATTTGTATACAGATTTGAAATTTCTATTAGACCCTGAGTTTATTTTACGGGCTATCGAGGCTTGGGACGAAGTTCGTCTTGGAATAGAAGAAGGAAATTCAGAAAACCGAAATAAAGAAGCATGTGCTATTTTACTCGATATAACAAAAAAGAAAATAAATGAGAAGAAGGGCAATAATGAATTAAAAACTTTAGAATTTTATGTACGTAACGACGAAGAACTATATGTCCTCATCACTTTTTTCATGGAAGACGTGAAACTTTGAGTATAAAACTAAAGTATTGATGATTTGTAAATTATAATACAATTGTTTTGTTCGATTGAAGCTTTATTGTTTATTTTTACATAATAAAGTATATATTAAAGTCGTTGTTTATATTTTTAATTGTCACGTATAGTTAAACAATACACACGGCATATTTACCGCCAATTGGATTTACATTATTTGGCCAAAATAAACATTTATTATCTATTGAAGATTTAAGGCCAATTTTAAATGTCGTCCCACCGTCAACAAAGCAAATACCGAGTAGTGACTAAAACCAACATGTGTCGCATGCCATATGTTGGTTTCGGTCACATGCTGACCACTCAGTGGCCATATACCAAAAAAATCATGTTACATATCAATTCAACAAGATTTTTTCCCTTTATTTCAAATTTGAAATTTTTTTTTACGTTAGAATATTTTTTAAAGAGATACTAGCTCTATTTTAATTAATTTAAAAATGAAAAAAAAATGAATATCATTGATTGTACCCATAATGCATCATGTGAAGCTCGGTGGAACTTGACATTACACACTGTATGTTAGTCATTAACAAATTATCATAAGAATATTATACCGAATTATATACCTACATTTGAAAGGTGTCGTTTTTGAATAGACAGCAAAATTAAGAAATGGAGATTTTGCAAAAACAATCTGATTTAAGCTGAATAATAGGGTTAAATTAAATATTAAGCTTTTTTTCCAACCTCTTCAAATACTTGGTGTTCAAAAGGGTTGGGCCTGTCCAGATAGTCGGATATCCGAATTATCCGGATAATTCGGATACGGATATCCGAAACCCGGATAGTTTCGGTTATCAAATAATATTTCAATTATCCGTAGAACCAAAACTATCCGAATAGTTAAAAATTATCCGGATAGTTTCGGATATTCATTTAATTTTAACCAGCCGAATATATTTTTTGAGTACTCAAACTGATGTATTTGTTGTTAATCGACTATTCGGACTCTTTGCAGAGTCCATCCTCAGGGTTGTCACGACTATTCCGCTGCCGGTTAATAACCACTGACACGGATATATCTGAAAATCATCCACGTGATATTTCAACCCGTGAAAGTTTCAACAAATACATAAAGTTGAGTACTCAAAAAAATATATTCGGCTGGTTAAAAATTAAATGAATATCCGAAACTATCCGGATAGTTTTCAACTATCCGGATTTCGGTTATCCGTATCCGAATTATCCGGGTATCCGCAAAATCCGAATTTTAGTCCCAACCCTAGTGTTCAATAGCGTTTTTAAAATTGAATTTTAATAAATTATTCAAACAAGGTGTATTATCAACACAGTTTTAATTAAACCGATAGTATAAAGAGCGCAACAACAAAAAATACATAAGACATTACCCGATATGTGATTAAAAATTACAAAAAAAATGCGAAACTCAAATGAGTAATACACAGTTCGGGTTTAGAAATTCAGTTTGTACAAGAGAGGCCATCTTTAGCTTACAAGTGTTAATTTGAAGGGCTAGGGATGTCAATCACGATGTGTATGCTTGTCTCATTGACTATCAAAAGGCATTCGATAGAGTTGAACACGATAAACTTTTAAAAATAATAGAAGTCACTGGAATTGACGATCAAGACCTGAGTATAATAAGTAACTTATACTGGAACCAAACTTCTGCTATACGAGTAGAAACAGTGATGTCAAACGATATTCCAATAAAAAGAGGAGTGAGACAGGGATGCGTCCTGTCACCACTTTTATTTAACCTATATTCGGAATACATACTTCGAGAAGCTTTGGATGAAGTTAACGAGGGCATAAAAGTAAATGGGGAATGCATTAACAACATAAGATATGCTGATGATACAGTTGTATTCACGGATAATACGTCAAGCCTCCAAAAAATTGTAGATAGAATAGTGGACACAAGCGAAAGTTTTGGGTTGTCTCTAAATATTAATAAAACCAAATATATGGTAATTTCGAAAAAAACAAACTGTAAGAGAAAAGCTGTTAATTAGGGGATAGCAAATAGAAAAGGTTCAAAAGTATAGAAATCTCGGTACATGGGTAAATGAGGACTGGGAACATGATATGGAAGTTAAATCCCGGATTGAAATGGCCAGAGGTGCATTCGTAAAAATGTCTGAAATATTTAAATATTTTAAATGTATAAGAGAAGCAATATCCATTATGGTTTCCAACATTCGAAACGGATAGGAACTTCAAGAAGAAGACCCAATCAATAAAAAATTGAATAATAGTTCATCATGTGGGATTAAAAAATACAGTCTGGCCAAAAATATGATTTCGCCGTGATTAAACTTGAATGTAGGTATATGTTTAACGAACAGGTTTCATGTACTTGTACACTATCCACCAAATTGTTGTAATTAAAACTAAATTTCTGTCTTTTATCTTTTTTTTAACGAATCTGAATTGTAGTATGTTTCTTTTTAGACCTTTGTTTAACACAAGTCATAATTATAGACAGGGAAATATAGGACCCATAAAATAAAACAATACTGTTCCTAGAATTTGTTAAATTAACCATGATTTAAAATTAAAAAGTGTAACTGAAGGGTAGTATTTTTATCTATTTTTTTCCATTAATTTGTGACGTTACGAAAAATGTGTTCTTTTGACAAAAAAAAAAATGCTTGTTGAAAATATATTTTTGTTTCCAAATGTGTATTTAGGCACAACAAATATGCGGTTCCAAGTTCATTTTGATAGCCAAAAAAATAAGAATTCAGGTTATGGCGGTGTTGTTTAAGCGAATTGTTGTTGTTTCACCAAAAACGATTTTGAATGTCCACACGTGTTAAAGGCATTACCAAGCCAGAAACATGTTGTGGAAAGAATACTATGATAAACAAAAATGTAGGATACATAATCGCTGTGGTCTTTGTGCGAATAGAAAACCTGTGTATTATAGTAGATCTGTATACAAAATTTATTAAAAATTAGTATATGCGGCATCCATATACTAATTTATTTATTAAGATTAAATTTTAAAAATGCTATTGAGCACCAATTATTTGAAGAAGTTAGACCAAATATCTCACTGGTTTTAATTAATAATTGAATTTATTTTTCCCATGTTTTTTTTACATGTGATCTCAATCTCTCAAATTTGTTTTTTTGTTTTTACCCCCCTCCCAGATTAATTTTTTTGATAGCAACTTTTGAAACTTAAACAGTAACGCATACATTTCATTAACTTTTTTAACCGAGAATAATGCGCTAAAAATTTGTATTGGCCAATAACCCGTTTTGGATAACTATTTTTGAAGTTTCAAGTTTAGAGTTTATGTGAATTAGTCGGATATCCGAATTACCCGGATAATTCGGATACGGATATCCGAAACCCGGATAGTTTCGGATATCAAATAATATTTCAATT